CGCTTGTGCAGGGAATGATGATCAGAATCTGGCATATTATTCCTCAATTCTCTCCACAGGTCTTAGCAGAGTCTCCCTCTTGCCCCGTAGGATCCGCCTCCTACTTTCCTGTTCAGGTATTTTATTCGGCCTCTGTCACTATCTGTACTATTTGACGCGTTATTTCACAGTCTCAAGTCTTTGATGGCAGGCATACTCCCGCCTCGCTGAGTAGGCCCCTAAACATCAGGATTATTAAGCTAGATGGGAGAATAACTTGAGGCTAAAGATCCCGAGTAATTCTCATGGTCAAACCTTTGTTTCATGCAAAACGCCTATGATCGAACACGTCTCCTCTTAGCCAAGTAACTAATCTCCATCGTGTCTACCCTGTCTCTTTCCATGATACCAGGTCCATGACTTTCTGTGCCCTAGTCTCTTGTATGCCAACCCACAAATGTTGTTCTTCTGCATTGAACCTAATCAAAACAAATAGAAACACCATATTTGTAGATTCGCACACAAGAGACCATGGCAGTGGAAGTCATAAACTTGGCTCTATGGATAGATGCGGCAGAGAATATAGCCAGTAGTAGACGTCCATGACCTTGACGATGAGAATTAATTGGGATCTTTAATCTCTAGTTATTCTCTCACCTAGGTTCATAATCATGTTTAGGAGCCTACTCAGCCAGGCGGGAGTATGCCTGCCATCAAAGACTTGAGAGAGTACAGAAAGGATGGCAGAGGTCGAGTGAAATACCTGAACAGTAAGTTAGAAGGCGGATCCTACGGAGCAAGAGGGAGACGCTGATAAGACCTACCCGGAGAAGATTGCGGAGTAATATGGCAGATTCTGATCAACATTCATAACGAAAGACTGAAAAAGAGTGAGGAGAGTTATCATGAAATTCCCTCAAAAGGACATACTATACAACATTTAAATAGAAATTGTGATATTTAAGGGATGTTACGAGGATACCGAATTGATGAGTAGCCCAGGGCAGGAGTGATAGCACAACCATTTCGATAGAAAGTTTGTCAAGGGGTTGACTCCATCTATTTCTTAATCGAGTTGTAGTTTGGTGCTAAGAACGGCAAGACTCAATCATGTCGGTGAAACGTCTGGGAATATATCACGTCCGTCGTCCAACAGCAAATTATCATACATATTGTGGACGCCGGACTAGGCGCTTTCCTCTAGGCCTTCCTTTCAATATGAGTAAGTTGCGATAAACGGGCCAAACAGACCCTGTACAACAAAAGGAAACTGCGATCATGCGAAGAACCACACAAGCTTAGTCTTTATATCCTGTAAGTTCTGTATAAATCCCACTGCAGTTCTGTGCATCAATAATAAAGACACAAGTTTGTTGCAAGGCTAAATAGGACCCAGCAGCTATTATTGCATGCTAGTTTATATGAAAAATATTTCTATCTGAAAATTCACAGAAATTATCACGCCCATGCGCAATTTGGATAGGACGAAACTACTTCAGCAAGTGTAGATGCCAAGATTAGGTGTGGAAATTCATTCAATCGACACATCATAGTCTTCTAAGGAAGCCTCGGAAGACGCATTTGACAATGGGGGTAAAGCTTCAAAATAAATGCTTTTCTTCGCGATATTTGAATTATTTGTATCCGGTTCATCGCAAGAAAGTTCGCCTTCCTCCAAGGGCTCAGTTGATGATTCTTGGAAATGTACAACCTCAGGGCCAATCACCTTTTTTACTATGAGTTGAGTCTAAACAATATTATATAAAATGATAACCACCTTGATAGATCCATTTTTTAAACGCTTACGATTTGCTTTTCTAAAAAAAGAGAATAGTGAATATGAAAATGGAATCCGATCGAAGTACCTTATAAGATTGCGTAGCTGAAATTCTTCTTCAAAGATGGCCTTAATTTCTTCCTTTGTTATGTTGGAGGTAGTTTTGAGGAGATACAAAAAAACCCCGCCAGGCGTTCGACGCCTACTGCCATCCTATTTCAAAAGGTAAACAATTAAATGAGTAAATATCATGGGCAGATGCGCCTTGCTAGTTAAAACACCTATTAAAGAACTAGTCAACGCAAAAGACTTGGATGTAGTACCATGGTTAACATCCCCCCTCTATCTTCAACATCTGCTGTCATATAATAGAGATCCAAAGAACGCTTCACACCAATAACGGAGACAACGCTTTCTGTTTTCAAAATTAAGTTAATTATTTACCTATCAAGCCAGTTTTATCTTCGTGCAACAATTCAGTAATTCTATCTGCTGTTTCTTTAATGCTGCTTTCTTCGCTCAACCCCACATGATCGCGCGACACTGAAGGATCTGGAACTCTTTCCCCTAGCCTCGACTTTACAGTACCTGTAGTCTTGAGGGGAGAAAGTTGACTATACAAATAATATCGTCGGAGCTCACTTCTTAGTAAAAGGTTCTTCGGATTTCGAGTCTTGGTTCATATAACTTTCTGAATCTTTGGATTTATCAAGGGTAGTGCAAGAAGCACTGAGTAGAAGACTGCCTAAATTTTGACTGTCTGATATATTCTTCCATATATTATTAATCCGTCTGCGATTTCGATTATTGCGCGAGGATATAGCTAGAATATGCAAATTAAACACAACAAACCTGAGATCCTTTTTTTAATCGGGATCCTGTGAGATTCGTCTGAATCAGAGGAAGAAGAAGAAGAGGAGTCTGTGTACATAAGGCTAGAGCAAATCAGGAGAGCAACGCATGAAAACGACCAAAAGGACAAGACATGAGCTTTTCAAACCAGCCT